AATCTCATATATAATACAGAAGATATCACCCCAACCAACACCACTGCATGTGTGGTACACCAGATTTGTTTCAGTGTTAACCATTCGTGAACATTCAAGTTACTTCCTGTATTTTGAGTACATGTATACATTGCCTGTACATGTACATGTACATGTCTGCCATTAATCTCTGCACATCAAACATTCTATGCATACTACGAGAAGGTGGATCTTTATAATGTTTAAATGACAGTCTACTGTCCATTCTAAGTTTTAACATTTATTCAGATATTTCACAAGGTCGGCATCTTAATTTTTCCAATTGGAATAATGGATATTTTAGATGTTCTTTTCGTCTGTGGAAAGTTTTTGGCATAGAAAGGGGAACAGAGATGATTGAAAACTTCACATTGCCTCTGTATTTGGATTCAAAGGTTTTCTGTTTATACAGTGCTCGGAGATGATTCAGAGTAAGAAAAAATTGACTGTTGGTGGAACACTTTGGGACTGTGTTGTGCATATTCTGTCTAATGTGCCACTTAAAAAGTATTTGCCTTTTTTCTGTATTCCCTGTTTGCTAATCTTTAAAAAAGCCAGCAGAGCCTGCTCAGGGAAATAGTGGCAATAAATCCCAAATCTTCAGAGCATGTGTTCTGCTGTGTAAATTATTTTTTATTCTGAAGGTCTAGTTTTGGGGGAACACAGGGACCCCCTGGGTCTACCTCAGGAGCCCTACTGCTGTTCCCCCCACACATGGACGATTTCATAATCAATCATAGCAGCTGATGGTATTCACACACGTGTAACTGATCTCCCAAGTTAAAGGCCCCAGAGCTTTTTTTTTTTTCTCCAGAGAAATTTTTACAGAAGTGTGTTGCTATGTCCCTCCTTACCCCTACGTGTATTTTTTTTCTTCAGCTGACCCTTAAGAACTACTTACTTGTATTTTGTAAGAATTTCTGTTGACCATAAATTGTGTTCTGCTGACAATGTACAGTGAAGATTTTGAAAAGCTTTGGTACCTGTACATTTCGGTTCTTCAGCAATATCAGGGGACAGTGTATCTGGTACATAGGTGTAACAGCTTACTGGAGTTAGAGATCGAAGTGATGCTCGCTATTCGTTAAAATATATTTCACATGATGCCCTTCTGAAGATAATGATTTGGGGTTAAAAAGTTTTATGACCCTAATGATTCAAATCAAGGAATAAAGAATTACACTGTTGCCATCAATCATTAAGTTCCCTTTTTTTCGGTTCAGCAACGTGGTGTTCTGGGATTATAGCATGTAGAGGTTGATATATGAACTTTGTATCGCAATCAAGTGAGCAGAGCATGAATAACATGCATCCACCGGGGGACCATTTTTGTTTATGGACCACGCATAGAAACTCTGGGGGACCATGGGTTGTGTGCCAGTCATTCGTCTCACCGTTCAGCAGGAAGGAATAGAATTAGGTTAGGTTTCAGGCCTAGGAAATGCTTGGAAACCGAAACCTTTTTTTCCCTTTTTTTTACAGATTTTATTTATGTTCATGAACCGGTACTTAAATGGGAGCTTTTGGATACATGGGAATATGAAAATGGTAGCTATGCAAGAGTTCTTGTTTGTTTTGAATCTCTTTGCTTCATCTGGCCGGTGGTACCCGGTATCCCATGAGCAAATTATGGCATCATCAACTTGTTTGTTGCCACACGTGCCTTGCATGCATGCCTACATGTATTTTCCACAAAAATGTCTGTGAAAATTTTGTACGCTGTATGTGTAGATCATTGAAGTTCCACATTCTTAGCAGGCTTTTTACCACTCAGGAAAAATTAATTTACTGTAGTTTTTCCGCAAATTCCTTTCCCCCCCAAAAAACTAATTACAAATTCACAGATATAAAATTATGTGCATTTAGCAAAATATTTCTTGAATAGTGTGCCTGTTTTGCAAGAAGTATTGTGTCATCCATTCAATGAAAAACCAACACTAAGCCCACATGTCAATTTTTTTCGGTGAAATACGCCTCAAACCCACATCCCTGCCACATTCTTAAGTAACGCCCTACAACCGTCAAAATTGGACACATCAATCATATAGTTGGTGCGCTATGCTGGTGCGCTATGCTGGCTCATAAACATGTTGTCACACTTTTCATTTTATTCATTTTCCAAGTCCGCGCCACCAGAGGTCTGACTTAGGATGTGGGGGTCAGCGGTCAGGTTTGGGCTTTAATCGATTATTTTCAAACTGTGGGGGTACGTGTTGGCATGGTGTGTGCCACGTTATCTTGAGCACAATTTATGAGCACCACGTTGCAGATACAAAGAAAATTTGGGGGAAAGGGATGTTTATGATTTATTAATGAGGTTTATGATAAGAAGGTGTCCACATCAATTCAGCCAGAAAAGATCTGTGAATTTAGCTCCCTGGAAGGTAATTTTGACCCGTAATTTTATTTGCTCCAAATGGATTGTGAGATTACCTGTATGTAAGTTACAAATTCTCTGACCCCCTCCAGTTACTCGTGGGAGAAACCTCGTTGTTAATTCCCATTTTCAGTCCTCCGTTGTTCCTTCATTGATTTGATTTTCCATGTTGGGGGACACTTACCGTTTTATACATTGTAGTATGTCTTTTAAATTGTTTGTTCTACTACATGAATCAATGGGAACCAAGGCCGTTCATACTGCCAGAAGTACATGTATTGTCATGTTTAATTTTGGTGATCTAGACCAGAGTATTGTAGAATGGAATTTTTACATTGTGGATCCCCATCTTACCGTACCTTGCACATCTTGGTCTGTAGAAAGGGAGATATTACATGCACCTTTCAACCAATGCTTTCTTTTGAAATTGCTAAGGTTCCAAGAAAGCTTACTGACACGGCAAACAGGGGTAGTACCAGGCTAACTTGGAAATTTTGTAAAATTCATTGATTGTAGAATTGTGTATGAAAATAATGCAGTGTACACACCAGTACAGTGTACAAAGTCAAGGTTTTCAGAAGGTGTCAAAAAATCACATTAGTACAGGTTGGTCAAAGAACGGGTATTTATAATCTGACCACAAGAGGGCAGTATACAGAGTGAAACAATATTTTCAACACAGACATACTAGTGTGCCGGTACATGGTATTACGGTATGTGTACATTGGACACTTTGACCTTGGTTGTTCCATCAAAAATACGTCCAGTCGCATTTTACAGTGTACTGGAATCATATTGCTCTTCCTCTCTGCTCTGGTGGTTTGTTGAACCACATCCACCTCAGGGCATTCCTGCATTGTTACACAATTGCTTGATGAAGAGGAAAATTACAAGGGATCTGTGCTCAAGGGGAAAGCAATGAGGCAAGAATCTTGTAATTAAAGGAAAACACATGTCAGTACGGTGATTTCAAGTACAGTAATGATGCAGCAGTTACATGTAGGGCCTACATGTGTAGCTTCTCATTTGCCTCAGTACACATGAGGGCAACGATAATGTGTACAGTATTAAAATGGTGTTTGACATCAATTCAAAAGAAATGCTGTCAATAGGAGGATTTGAACTTAGTCCAAAGGCAATCTGTAATGCATCAAAACTCACAGGATCCCCAGAATGTCTGCCAGTATGTTGCCAATGACTTCACTGAACCTCAGCTCAAAAGGAGCTTCTTCATGTGTGCAATGTGTGCACCATTGAGTAAAGAAATCTCCATCAAAGCTGGCTCCCTTTTTTTTTTAATTCCTCTAGGATTTCAAATTTAGTATTTTGGTTGTAGCACTATCAAAACTCAGTTCCAAAGCAAACATCTGCCCGTTGATTTGCACACAACTTGCACAGTGATTTTGTGTACAGAAATCCCTCACCCGCAAAATAACATCATCTTACACCTCAAATGATTTACTTTGGCAGTATAACTGAGGAGGGGGTCTCAAATGGAAAAATCATCCTGGATTTGCCCTGCACGATTCAGACAGCCTTCCAATGGAGCATAAATCTGAGATCATTTTCAAATCCTGGACTAATAGCTGTCAGCCAGCCCTTAATCGGTGACCTTGATACCAGCCAAAGGAGCACATGCTTCCAAAGGCAAAAAAGGGAGGCCGAGTCCCTTGCGACATATGGAAAAGTTCATATAGAAACATTTGGCCAAGGCCATTAGTTCAAGTAATTGGAACATATTTTTGTTTTCTGTTATTACTTGCAGGTTTTTAATTACTGTTTGTGTTTTTTTAAGGTGCATGCAGCCAAGGGCATCACTAGAGTTTTGTGTGCCAGGCTTTCAAAATAAAATTCTTGTCCCATTTCAAATCATTTTTCATCATCCTGATTTAGCTTCGGCCGACATCCGGGTTTCACTTTTAAAATCAACATCCTGTTACAATCTGAATATCCCCCCTCCCTTCCCATTCCTGCTACTGTGTGCAGAATCGCATCTGAATAGGACTGAACTATGAAAACCAAGAGTTTACCTTTTACAGAAGCCATGACCTCTATTGCCTTATTCGTGGCTGAGGTTCCATCTTGAAAGTTGCCTTAGAATGTGTCTCTTGCAAGGGGAACTGCCTCTTCTCTTCACCCATAATATAGGCCTGAAATCCCGAGGATTTTTGCCCCTCTTTTCAAAGGCTTACTTTGTATGCACCTGTACATGTATCTGTAACAGGTAATAGATTTAACTGTGAACAAAATCAAAAGAAAAAGCAGAACTACATAGTAGGAAACACATCCTGTAGCCTGCAGTTCAGCACTCATATCGTAAACTGGTACATTTCAGCACGCCACCAAGAAGGAACCACACAGGAATGTGTGCATTAGTTCTAGGACATACATGTGTATGACAGCAAAGCAGTTGTTCGGGACGAGAGTTTGAAGGTAAAACATCTTCCCGGACCCAAATTTTACCTGTCTGAGTTTGTTTCCCAAAACTGATGACTTGAATTGCAGTGGCTTCTCATGAATTCTTTGACCTGTCTTTGTCTCTGTGCTTCAGTTTTAATGGAAAAACATTTTCTTTGTTCATTTAATCTTTTTTTTCCGCGTGCAGAATTACATGTACACATTTCACAAACTGATGTTGCCGTTTCCAAATGTGAAATCTGGACATGCTTACAAGCATCACCAATAACAAAACGTAAGTACATGTACATTTGGTTTTTACTCAATTGTCACTGCACCTGTAGAACTGTTAACACAAGCTACATTAACCATTTAGAAATTTTAAGTGGAACTTCAGATGCCAATGAGGGAAAACATGAAAGTCCGAAAGAAATGACAGTCACGAATGAAATCCATGTACTGAAATGAAGTGTGCCCATGCCATTGGCTAAATCTAGTGGTACAAGCATATGCCCACTGCCCCCTTTCCATTTCGAAACTTCTTACAATGCTAGTTTGTGTCCTTGGCTGCTGGAGTTTGATATTCAATTTTTTTTGGGGGGGGGGGGGAGGTTGTGGCTGTACCCTTCACAATGGGGGGAAAAGGCCGAGCATAATTTAAGCTGGCTTACTTGCCCCAGATAACATCAGAAGCGTGTCTGCCACACGCCAGGCACATGCCACCGCCGGCCTGGCCTGACATAAATTTCAAATTTACTGTGAATAATAAGGCTTCGGAGGCACATACAAAAGGTTAGAAGGCACAGGGAGAAATGGAGAGGGGGGGGATTGAGGGCTGTCAGTCGCCCACGACTCCATGAGCAAAGGAATGGAAAAGGAAAGAAATGAGGAACAAGGCATGCCAAGCATTCCAGCATGTTATGATCGTGGTTGGTGGCTGTAGTCGGGGGAGAGAGGGTTGGCAATTACCGAGGGGACAAATATTGTGATGTTACCCACTGGGTCCACGTGGCAGGCAGAGCTGGGGGCTCTGATGGGCAGTGGACTGTCTGACTAGAATTGGGCCACAGGCTCATTGTACACGTACACCTGCTGGACGCTACAGGACCCTGGCTGTGGAACCCAGCCTGCATGCTTTGCCTGTCTTTGCGGTTACAAAAAGCGGCCCTTGCCATAGCTATTTTTATATCTCCACTGCTGATTGAGAGGGGAAAAAGTGGATCAGTCATTATACTGTGTAAAATCTTCATCTGATGGAAATTTTGTTCATAGTTTGGGAAGTCTGACACAATGAAACGGTGACTTCTAATTTTTTTGGGGGGTGTTGTTTATGGTATTTTTTCATCAGGCAAAATGCATTGCCCTTCACCCAGTTGCTTTTGGTTTATCTAAATTGAACTTTCATTTTCACACCTGTTTTTTATATCCACACCTTTTTTTTATGACATCATGTACCAGTACATGTACATGTACTTGTACAAGATTTGAACAGGAGGCAAAAACCTGATAGCTTTTTTTTTTTCAGATGTACCCATGTGGAACAGTTTTGACCAAACTTTATGCCCACTTTTACAGGCCATGGTCCCTTAAAAGCATCAGAAGAAAATCACTCGATAAATACCAGGTCAGGTCTCCGATCTGAAGAGTTTCTTCTCATTTGGGGGAAGGGGGGGTTGGAGCATTTGTCCACCATGTGTTACAGCAGTTGCTCACTTCAAGGCAGTGTTTCCAGAAGTTGGTATCTAACTTGGCACTAGGTTTATGGGGAGCAGGGACTCTGATGCGAAAACAAAATGTGAAGATCCAGGTTCCAAATCTGAAGATGGAGAGAAAGTAGGAGAGGAGAGAGCGAGAAAAAAAATCTTGGGTGGCTGTAATGCCTGTCAGGCTTACCAGCAGCATATGGTTTTGTCTCAAGGCTGAGGGGATCTTCAGTGGGCGGGTTGGCCCATCTCACTGGCATGTGATTCTACAGTGTGGATCAGCTTCTCATCATTGCTTTGATATTTACCTCAACAGTGTCCGGAATATTTTAATGTCCACCAAGTTTGTATAATTCAAGGGCAAGCTGAATTTAATCATCAAGGGTCTAGGTCTCGTTCAGCTCTCCGTCCTCCAAATTTCTCAGGTTGATGTATGTAGTTTAAAACTACATGTAAAATGTAAATGTATGTGTAAGTGATGGAGGTGCACGTGTTGGAGAAAATAAATACATTTCCTTTGCCGTAAGTGATTTCTAGTATTGGCATCAAAATATCAGTTTGTTAATTGAAAAGAATTCTATATATTTTCAGTAACAAAGGAAAATGTGAGCAACCATTGAATGGTATACCGTTCCAATCTTTCCCTGGAATGAATCCTGTATCGGAAGGAGTGAAGAAGCTGTCTAAACCCCAAATGAAATTTGCAACGGTGCCCCCTGTGAGTCAAGCTGAAGATCGATTGGGAATCATTTGATTAGACCTAGCATGCGCACTTTGTTTGTGAACCCTAGACTTTGCACATAACTGTTCTCAGAAGTGGAGTGCAATGCCAGAGGCTAGGTCTGTGCCCGTGTTGCTGTTCCTTGTTGCGTATGTTCATGTGAATACCGTGCAGACAAACATCGTCCATCAGCTTAATGTGAGGGCTAATGATAGGAGAGGAATATGGAATTTGTTTGTTTGAAGGAATCACTGGTTCCCGTGCTCTCGACCAGTGGCAGGAATGTGGACTCCTCTTCCCACGTTGTTGTCATGGGAACATGAGTCAGAGAATAATTAATCGCGAGTTCAAGTTGGCATGCTGTTAAAGCTTTATACATGTGGGCCTTTCACACACCTTGCTAAAAGAATATTCAACTCACAGAGAAGATTTCTTTTTTCAGAATATGGATTATTGGGAGTTGAAGTTTTGAGTTTTGTTTTGTTATTCTGGAAGCATTGTCTTTTTCTAAGTTACCGGGATCTGTAGGAAAACAGTTGAAACTGTCAGCAGTAGGCAGTACGTACATGTTTGTTAATTTAAAGATACATGTACATGTATCTCTTGCATCCTTTTTAAGAAACGAAAGAAAATGTTTTAAAATTTAAAAATGCATTGAGATTGTGTCAAATGCAGTCAAAATTTCATATGGTCGGTTTTTGTGTTGTGGTCATTGAAAGCTTGTGACAACTACCGTTTGTCAAACACTAGAAGTTCCTCCTACCCTGTCAGACATTCAAGCCACAGGTATACAATTTCAAAAAGAAATCATCGTCATCCGGATTTCACTGCTAAAGATTTAAATCAACAAAAGAGAGAAAAAATCCTGTCTTGTGCAATAGTCCCCTTAAACTCCATTCTTGTACGTGTAAACCATCAAAACAGCAATGTTTCCTTGCTCTCAATGAGAATATCAAGTACAAACAGACGTCAACAGCTGCAGTTAAGAATTATTACACACTTGTGTTGCACATCAGAAACATGCAAAAGAAAGAACTGGAATATCGTGCCAATAAACTTTAGCCACAAAGATTGGTATCACGCCAAATCCTTCGTCAGACACATGGCTCATTGTCAGCCAAGGATGCATCCAGGGGCTGCGACTTGCCCCTGCGGGTTGCGGTGTCAGTTCAGTTTTCAAATTCATTCAGGCCTTTGGTTTGACATTAGAATTTCAAATAGGTCAGCACATGTTAATTACTGCCACTGTGTTGATTCCGTATTTCCTGCGTCTTTGCGGTAAGCCCCCCCCCTCCCTCAGCCATTGGCTATGGTCCACCCACCAAACCTCCAACCTGTCTGACCATCAGTGAATTTGGCCTGAAGTTCAGGGCATGGGCCAAAATCATTTGCGGAAATTTTCCCTTGAAGACTTCCCTTCACAGGAAGATCATTTTTGGGCGTGCTTACAAAAGACAAAATTGAAGACAAGAAATGATACTTTGGTCTTTGAGAAGGGATTGGTAAACAACTCGAGAGTTGCACCTGAAATTGCTTCCTCAGTGTACAGTATTTAAACTGGCCTGACTCCAGACGAAGGCTGCACCCGAATTTGTTGTCTGGAGCTACAATCCTGGACAAATCTCGTTGGAACATGCCTCCCCCCTCTCCCCCTGTCAGTGTTGTTTCTCATTGGGTAAGCTGGGTCGAATTTTGGCCCAATAAATGACCGTAACATTGAATGCGTGAGACGGGGGGATCTTTTCACCGCGCTTCCCACAAGGTGTTCCAACTATTTTGTCCAGGATTGTGCCCAGTAGGTCTACATGTAGGTCTACACTCCTTTGGAAATACACGGAGACCTACAGTAGCCGTACGAGTACCGGTAGCTCCTAAAACGTGTTTCGGACACAGCCATAGATTAAAAAGAAACATTCTCATAGTCACTCTGTTAACTTTCGTGGATTGCTAGAATTAGAAATAGTAACCTTCCAGTGCTAGAACTCTTTTGAATATCCATCTTGACCTTATTAAAAGCAAGGAAAGGAAGTGACATTGACATGATCACTGACATGAAATGCAGTGTGTACCTCTGAGCCTAATCCACCTTATTTATCATTCCTATACATACAGGAAATGATGCTGCATCCACTTCACCACTGCTTGTGAGTGACATTCACGCTTAAACCCCAAAGCAGACATACTGACAAACTCCCCTACCCAATACCTGGCCATCAGGATGGAGCAACCCACGTCTCCCCTGGGTGGTGGTGAGTCGGAGATGGATTTCTCCATGAGTGTTTGTAGCCCCGAGGCCATGGCGTACTCACTGTTTGAGGAGCGGGAATCCCCTCCCCCCTCAACCACAACGGCAGCAGAGGTGCCCATACCACCACCCCCACCCCTGCCACCGGTACCTGTCAACTTGACTGGTAACAGGACCGCATCGGTGATCATGTCAGCTTTTCCAATTGTGACGATTCCACAGACCACGATGGTGACACCAACCATCATTCAGGTCCAACAGATCCAGCAAGTGCCCCAGCCGAGGCTGACGCTGCAGCCCATTCAGACACAGACGATACAGTCAGTGCAGCCAACAGTGCAGCACACCATCACGCCTCAGCAGTTGCAACAGCTGACAGTCCAACAGCAGCTGCAGCTGCAGCAGCAGTTGCAGCAGCAAGGGTTGCGGATACAGGGACAGCCACAGCTGGTACTAACTCAGGCCCAGAACCAGCCAATTCAACAAGTGCAGTTACAGCAGCAGCAACAACAGCAGCAAGTAGGGACACCGCAGCAACTGCTGCAGCGGCAGCTGCTGGACCAGCAGCAGAAGCAGGCGTTCAAGCTGCAACAGCAGCAGCCCGTTGTGCAACAACTGCAGACTGTGCAGCAGCAGTTGCAGCATAAAAAACAGCAAATGCTGCAATTGCAGCAAGCCCAGATAGCACAACAGGGTCAGCAGATACAAGTGCAACAGAGTCCAGGCACACAGCCAGGACCACTACAACTCCAGCAGCTCCAACAGCAGCAATTACAGCAGCAAATACAGCAGCAACAGCAGCAAATGCAACAGCAGCTCCTGCAAAAACAGCAACAGGCACAACAGCAGCAGCAGCAACTTCTACAGCAGCAGGCACTACAACAGCATGAGCAACAACAGGTACAGCAGCAGCAACTTCTTCACCAGCAGCAGCAGGAACAGCGGCCCCAAAAGCCCCTGATAGATCCTATGGATTTGGAGGCTAAAAGCCCCCAGCATTCAGTTGAAGAGGTGTCCATTACCGAAAATCTGGAAAAGAAGAAAGACGGTAAGTGTCCAATTTCCTGGGGATTTTAGGTTTTTTTTTTATTGGGTGCAGTTTTACATCGTGCTTTCAGGAAAGAGCATTATACTTCTTTCGTGAGTTGTGGACAAAAAAGCTCACATTGCAACTGTAAATTGGTTACAGACCCTGTATAGTGATCATGGAGGAGCTTGATGTACACTCACTGCTAGCTGCCTCACATGGCCTTACTTAAAAAAGTCTGCGCAGTGCCCTCCTGAGGCCCTCCATAGCTGTCATTAAGACGGTTGCGTTTCAGTATTTTTTAAAGACTGTATTCCACACCTTCAGTAGTGTTGAGCATACTGAATGAAAACTTCAAGTTGTGGCTCTGAAAGCACTGATCTTCCTCATAATCTCAAATCTTCACGAATGTTACATTTACTTAGGACGATGTGTTCATTTCAAAGGTTTTCCACGGGAGCCCTTGAAGTAACAGTACATGATGCATGCCAGATTAGCTGGTAGCAAACATTGCCTTTTGTCATTCATCGACACCCCTTTGCTTCAAGGAGTCCTGCAAATGATCTGTTACTATAGGTTTTTCTCCCTTTATGCCAAGTTTTTGGGGTGCTAATTATGAGGCCAAGGTGGCATGTGTTGTTAACAAAGCTGGAGAGGGTTTTCATTATGTTGGCAGCACCCCCAAGTATTCCAATTGGGAACTGTGCCTACATGGAGATGACCAAAGTATTCACAGGCTAGAACATGGCATGATTATGTTGTGCATATGTGTCTGTTAGTCGGGATGCCAGACCCTACATTGTTTGTCAGTTAATGACTTCAAGGTATGCCATTCACAAATTGCTGTAATGTAGGGAGTGTAACCGGACTTCAGTGCAAATATGCAATATTAGAGGGAGAGATTGTTGTCCATGAAATTCCTTTTTGCCCCCCACGTTGCATATACATGTACCTCCACCCAAAATATGAGTGGTCAGGTTGCACATCCATCTGTATTCCATCAGTGAATGTTGCAGCGTGCCAGTGATGGATGGGAGGAAATCAAAGCAATATCAAAGGGTTAATAGTGTGGTCTCTGTGTGGCAGGGGTTATCAGCCCTCTCCATGACTGCTCTGTATCAAAAATTTCTGCTAATATCATTTCATTTTTTGTTGAAAATTTGGAAACAAATCTAAACAAATCTTGGCATTGACAAAGGAGAGTCTCAGAGGTAAGAGTGTTCACACCCTGGTCATGTGTGTCTACTCTCTCCCTATCCCCCCCAGGACAGCATGCCATTCTTGCTGAGTCTTGATGACATGAGATTGAGCATGGGATTTGTTGGGGACTCAGCCTTTATTTTAATGTCCTGGCCCACTGACACAAAAGTCTTGTTCCCTGAAGTCGCAGTTGAGATCTGCATGATACAGGTTTTAATACTATAGTCACCAGCTTGTTCTGGACACAAGCCTCATTCTGCATCACGGGCCATGTCTCAAATGGATATTCATCTCTGGCTAGGGCTACTCATCCCAACGCGCCCACATTAGAAATAAAAAAAAAACAGAGCCGCAAAACAGCAGATTCAGCTGCAGCCACCATGTAGGCCTACACATACCTGTAGTGCAGCTCATGCTGAGGAGCATCAATGTGGAAGATGGCGGGCGGGTTAAAAGTAATAAATTATTACAGCATGTGGTTCTCTTTCTTGCCACCTCAATGCAATCGAAACAGGAGACTCTGTCCCATGGGGGCATTTGGCCCGTTCCTGCAGTTGACTTCATTGCAGTCAGCAGAACTTTTTTGGAGTTGGAGGGGGGGGACTGTCATATCAGAAGCCAGATCAGCTGACCTGCAAGGTATATGTAATGGTTTCTGTAAGCAGACATGTAACAGGGTTACAGTAAACCGGCAGTTTCCCTGTAAGCAGCCTGCTCTTATTCTGTGTGATACGTAAAAGAACTTTGAACAATTACATTTATGACAATCAAGGAACTGGGTTGTGAGAGAAAGACAGAATTTTGAATAGATGTACACCTGTCCATGTATGGTACATGTACTTCAGATATTTTTTCTTGGAAGACCTCATTCACAAGTCAATTTTGATCTTCATTGGACGCAGTATTAGCACAGTGGTGTTCTGCCATTGACTCAACCTTCACTAATGCCTTTGCAAATTGACTAAGCTGGAAATGTTGTAACTCCATTGAAAAAAAAAATGCTCTGGACTAGAGCTTCAGTTTGTCAAGAGGCTGGACAGTAACACTGGTAACTCCAGCTCCACTTGTAGCCAACCATGGCCTCCCCAGACCCCAAGCACTCTGGGTCCCTGCAAATTGGCTTGATGGGAGAGAATGCCTTCTTGATTCATCCCTTGGGTGTCCAGTCTCCAGTCGACAAAAACAGGAGTTGTAAGGGATACACACAATAGCCATTTAATCCCAGCTCCCATACATTTTTCTAAAGAAGAAAGGTTATAGGAATAATCCAGCCATACATGACATTTCACAGCAGAGCCAGCTCTGACAGACCTGGCAGCTTAAAATGTATTTATTTCAGGAGGGCAGGTATCCGAGGAGAGAACCTCACTCACCAAGATTGTCAAAAGTAAGGACACAAGTTATTTGGAATGGCCTAAAATATCTACACAGTTTGCAGAGGGAATTGAGAGAGAGGTAGTCATCCTGTCCCGGTCCCCCTCCCCCCCCTCCTAATTCTCTAGGCTCAGGGACTTAAGGGCGAAAAGTCTGCTTCCATTCAAGCCAAGCCAGTGGAACTTGAGTCTCAGCTTGACTTCAACTTGGAGAACCACCAGAGAATTTGTACCCAAAAAAACCTGCGCTTTACCACACCTGAGATCCATTCACTTCCTGTCCTCCTTCAGGAGTTGGTCGTGATCAGCTGGGATGTTTTCACTGTCATCTCTGAGGTCTGGTATGCCAAAGGAATGGAACAGTGACCTTCACACAGGTTCCCCTTAGAATTGGCTCATAACATGGAGAATCATTTTACAGCCGCACCTTAGCCATACAAGTTTCCTAAGGGTTTTGTTTTACAGTAGGTGTAGGTAAAACTTATCACAGACAGGCTAATTAGTCAACAGTTTACAGCATTTTTCTCTCTTGCATCCTTTTTTTTTTGGGTATAAAAGAAGATTCATGAACAAAATTCAAGCAAAGTATAGTCAACAAAGCTTCATTTATGTGAGAGCAGCTTTCTGTCTGAACTTAATACTTCCATGAAATTTGTCATCATCCACCTACGAGTAACATGTAGTGTAGTACACTTCAGCACTTGTGAGGAAAACAGTACAAAGACCTATTACAAGGAATCTATGGTAATCAGATCACAAGCTTTGATGCCCAAACTTTCAAAATGGCACGCTTTGCGGCACTTCAGATAAGGACTCAAAACACCCCGAATTCTAAGACATTGTGAGACAGCGGCATGGTAGAAAGCCCCTCAGTGTCACGCAATCTTTTCCACCGGTACTTTACATACTTCCCTTTATGTACACAGCCTCACAGTCAAATAATTCCTTTATACGAAAAAGCAGGGGGGGGGCACTGCACTGATGATTTCTGCACATGCTCTGTATGGGATGATTTGTCCACATTGCAGACCGCCGGCGTAAGAAAAAAACTGCTGTTTTCGTGATTTGAGCTATTTTGGGGATATGGCGTTGCATGGATCATTGCACCCCCACATGTTGCGCGTCTCTCCCCTCCCCCCCCCAGTCCCAAGGCTCATCTTAACTTCTCATCAGATCAGCTGTTTGGATGAAAGAAATGAAAGACTTCCTGGGAGTAATTACAACCACAAACCATCTGTCTGGCTTTTTGCTCACCAACTAGAAATGAATTGAAACAGTTTTTAGGAATGATGGCCAATACTGTGCAACAAAGTTAAAGATTTTTTTTTCCTTTGTAAAGTACCGTACTCTTGTCGGGGGACAGTCGTTTGTGTGCACCATACCATATGAAAGTGAGTTCAGTTACATTTCGACCAAGATGATATTTGGGGGAAAATTCAAACTTCTCTAGTTCAAAAAGTATTTTCGAGTAGAATCTGAAACACAGTGTTTATTGTTTGCTTGTCTTAATGTTTCTTTGTTAAAAATAATGAGTACACAACATGGAATTACTTCTGCGTGCAACTGGATTGAGTCTAGCTCCAGAAAGTATGAACTTCTAACCTGTTCTGTGTTTTATAGTGAACCTTAAATTGGACATGCTAACCTTCAGCCAGAGCTTGGGTATTGGAAAAGAAAGTCTTCTTTAATGCCAGTCTATCTGTACGTACTCCCAACCCCAAGAAAACTCTTTTAGTTCTTGGCATTATCAAGAACAACTGTTGTGACAAAGCTTAGAGGTGCCGAGAGCTGTGATTTCCTCCAAGTGTTCAAAACTCAACCCTCTCCCACGTCTGGTGGCTCAGTGCAATGTTCAGCCTAACAGGGCTCTGCCTGGCAGAGTCTGTCTGAGCTTTCAGCACAATGGCAGGGCTGTCCGGTCTCAGGACACCGTGCCTACCGAGGCTGGCATGGTGTTGATGAGTTTAAGCCAGCCTGGATACTTGTTATTGCTTGCAGAAACTGCAAATGGTCGATACCTCGTCCTCCACGTTGACATGCCTCCCGGTTAAAGTCTGTGGATTAGTGGAGCCTGATGGATGAAGTTATCAGGGACATTACTTGGATTTGTGTGGGTTTGGACGTACATGTATCAATGAAATCCTGATGTGCTGCTGCTAAGCTTAAATCAGTGTGCAGTACTACTGTGCCATCATTGTGTTTTTTAGTGATCTCATATGTTTGTTTGTGTATGAATTGAATAAAAAGTAAAAGGAGGGGCCTATATTGCAGTGTATAAAACCAACATTCCTGTTTAAAGTTTTAAAAGTTTTACTTTCACAAGCTGAACCGTACATGTACCGGTACATTCATTTTCGGCGCTAGAGAAATGGATGTCGACCTTTGAAAAACAAATTCAGTTTGAATGTGAGTTGGGTTGTTGGTTGAGGTGCCTGCTCCTGCCCAGACATGTAAGATTAAGTACCAGTACTTTGACTTACATGTATACCTATTCATGTTGTGTTGTATATCTATTGAAGAAAGTGCACATTCAAGTTTGGAATGATTTACATAATTTAAGTACACGAGCATATGTATGAGTACCATGTAGATACAGCAATTGGGAACCTCGACTCCATGGACTACATGCGCATTCCTTCACTAGCCCCTGGTCGTGTAGAATACAAAAATGACACTGACTGGCTATTCATGATGAGTATGCATTTACGTAAGGTGGATCACAAGCATATTTCAAATGTTACATGCTCACGGCCACACATTATCTTGTATGTCACGCACGCGTAAATCAGTGTCGCGAGTGACCACATTCACATCTCCCCACTGCAGTCAGAAACAAGGGCCGTTTTCCAATACTCAACTTGAGCTCCGTCTCAGGCTTCAACTGTTGTTTTACTTGCTGATTTTGAGGTTATAAGCTAAATAGTAAGTCTGAGAGTGCCACAAAACATCAAGTAAGATGCAAAAGAGCAAAAAATTACAGCATTTCAATTTATGGTAAGTTAAATGCTTCAGGCCCACAATCGAGGATTGGTTTCCCACAGGAAGCCCGAGACGGAGACGAAGATGAGTATTGGAAAACGGCCAAGGTGCCTGTGGGCAGAGGGTTGATGGTTTTTGAGTCTGAGGCACAAGTCAAATTGTACAGCCACCTGATCCAAAAATGTACAGTACTTGGAATTATCTGTGTCTTTACAAAAAAAAAAGAGTTCAAAAGTATTTGAGATGGTTTGGCATATATGTCTGTCGGGGGTAACATAATGAATGTTAATCCTATGTCAGAACCACTGGCGAATCATTGTGAGTGTTCCATGCGTTTTCCTTCCTCTGTAAGTTTCATATTAAGCCAAATATTGTAAAGATTCATTGATTTCAACAGAAGTATACAATGTACCAGTATAAGGGAGGGTAGCAGAGAACACGTACAGTACATGTGTCAGTACCATACATGTACATGTACTGGGTAGTTCCAAATTTCAGCCAGAGTCTCTCATGTATCACGCCTCGTATCTAACCTGTGTGACCCACATACCGACACCAGCCCCCCAAAAAACTTATGGTGTGATCAAGTGGTCGTCAGTGCCTTGTAGGAATCTGTTCTACGAAGTAACACAATCCAGAATATTGTCTGCCCACTCCAAATTATTCCTAACGAAACCCGTATCCCCAGAGTTATATCCCCCACCATCACCTCCCTCCCCCCCTTCCATTTTGCAATAAACACT